TTCACTTCTTTCATTAGTTTCATTAGTTTCATTAGTTCCAATTCCTGTATTTCCTGCATTTCCTGCATTAGTTCGTTCCATCTTGCTTAACTGAACACAGCCCTTCCATTGTACAAAAGGCTTTTCTTCTTTGCTAATAGCTCAGGAGACCTGTTCTAAGTTTATATGTTAGCCGCATGAATTGCACGAAATCCGTTCCGTTATAAAAGCATATAATGCGTGCATGAAGATGAAGAAACGGAACGGCTTCTGCACTTCATGCTCTACATTAAACATTCATGCATTTCATGCGAGAAACGGAACGCACCCTCGGTGACGCGCTGTGTACGGAGGAGTGCACCGTATCGTTCCGCTCTAAGGGAAGGTTTTCTTTGAAATTTCTCTTCTGGGGGTCGATTATGTATCCATGCAATGTAGTGAAAATTACAAAAGTGAGCAAATTTACTAGTTGTTGACTTAATAAGATCATAGATATTTTAGTAAATTTGCTCACTTTTGTAATTTTCACTACACTGCGTGATACAGAATCGACCCTCTGGTTGCTTCTACTACCGCGCGCCGTACTTTTTCGATCTCCGCCAGCGGCCCGAGATTGAAGAAAAACGGCGCGCGATAGTAGGGACAGTCGGAGGAGAAATTTCCGAGAAATACTTCTCCTGGAGCGGAACGACATATGCACTCCTCCGTACATTTAACTTCTACCCACATAGCATCGTTAGTAGCACAAACGTTTCTGCAACGGGTTTTCCAAAACTTAGCAATGTTAAACGTTTCTAAAACATCGTAGTAACGTAGCGGAAACGTCGAAATGTCCGCTTTTTAAGTTTCGGTCCGATTTTGTTGAAACATTGTCCGATAAGTTGCAAAGTTTTTAATGTTTAAATTTTTATAAACATTGTAAAATACATTTTTGAGATCATGCAGATTTTGCCTGCTTAACCATTCTCCAGGAAGAAGTGATTACTTAAGTACTTTAATCGTTATAACTAGAGTTGCAAGATCGAGCAGAGAGCAACGAGAGCATCGAGCGGTGGGGGCACGCACACTAGCCAGAACTGCCGCTGGTGCATGACGTCACGCACACAAACGGCGGTTCTGGCTTGTGTGTGTGTCCCCACCGCTCGATGCTCTCGTTGCTCGATCTTGCAAACTCTGGTTATAACATCAAACCAAACCAATCTTACAATTTCGTACGATTGTTTACAACACAGTAACATGCTATTATTAAAAAGTAAATTAGTAGAAAATAATTTTTGGCATAATGTCCCAAGAGCACTGAAACTTGTTGCAAATTATTCGACAATTGTAGAATCCGAACGTTAGTATCGTTTGTATATATTTCAGTCTGTTAAATTTAAAAGATAAGCATGTATTCTTGCGTTTACAGAGTTTCGAGTGTTGGAGCTTTATCCGCAGAAAAAAGCAGCTAAGCAAGAGCAAAAAAAGAAACGAAAGATCGATGTGCCTCCACCGAGAACGACGCAGATGCCCGTTGATCAGGATTGGGCTTCAGTTTGGCCGGGTACGCGTACTTTTCATCCAGCCTCAGTGCCTCTTCCAGTGCGCCAAGGTTATGTAGAAAAAGGCGCACCACTTAGCAAATATGTCAATGCCGAGCTTATGAAAATACCTAACTTTTTGCATCTCACACCACCGGCAATTCGAAAACATTGCGAAGCATTGAAGCAATTTTGTACCAAATGGCCTATAACTTTGGACACCGAAGAAAAGTGTAGAGAACACTTTCCTCTTGAGATTATCATATCTGATTACTGTTATGCTTCACCTACGATTAGAGATCCACTTGCCAGGATTGTGAGTTTGCAAGTAAAATTATCTTCTCTTCATCTAGACACTCATGCTAAAGACAAGTTGTTAAGATTACTTGGAAATAAGTACAATCCAGAAACCGATATAATAACGATCACAGCTGACAGATGTCCAACTAGGAGGCAAAATTTAGATTATGTACACTATCTTCTTATAGCAGTATATCATGAATCTTGGGTAAGCATTGCGTGCATAACATCTTCAAAAATTGTAAATAGGTCATATTTTGTTTTGTTATATTGCATATAACTTTTACAAACATTGTTGTGACCCTTTTGCAGAGAGTAGAACCCTGGGAAGCAGAAAAGTCTTTGGTAGATATGGAGTACTTTGATTGGGACACCAGCCAGAGTCGTAAGAATCTGGTAACACTGTACAAATGGCCGGAATCACCAACTGATCACGACTATGACGATATACCTAATGTGACAGAATTTAAAATTGCTGTTTCAGATCTTATAAATAACGGCGAGGATCAATACGCGATCAATAAATACAAAGGAGCTGTTAAAACTTTGTTAAACCTTAAGAGTAACAATAAAAATTAAATCTTACGTATTATATAAAAGTTTCTCTGAATTGTTTGATTAATGGTATCTCTTTTTGTTTCTAGTATTTTTTTTATGTTTCTTATGATAAGCAATGAGGGAAGAAGAGAAGCCTATTTAGAGACATCAGTTTGCCCGTGTGTATAATTTTACGCTTATTACTCAACGAAAGTATCCATCAAAATTTAGTTACAATGTCCGCAATCGTGTATGAATACATCACAATTTAAATAATCTTGTAACATTTGGAGCGTACAAATAATCAGGAGTTCACAGTAACATTCAAATAATTTTGTCCAACACATTCGACAAACACGAAACGCGTCGTATATCTTTCAGATATAAAACAGAAATTTCAATAGTATCAGTGTCTATTAAACGAGAATCAACTTATGAGAGTTATTTCAGTTTTGCTCTAAAAAACAATGTGGTGACAATTTTGCGTATCGAAACGCATGCGATATATATAAAGAACATAAAAGTTTATGTATAGTCTTGCAGAGATACAAAGATGTTGAAATATACACTGTTGCTTGTTGCGTTTGACATTATTTTATGTGAAACGCAGATAAAATCGAAAGCGATTACAAAACAAATACCGTCTTGTAGAAATCCGCCTCTGTGTTTCATATCGGATACATCCAAGACAGAATCAAATAGCATATCGTTTCTACCTTATCAAAATTCTCATAATTATGCCAGGCAACGATCGAATCTTCAACGCAGCTACTACAGTGGGTTTGGTTCATCCGCGTCGCCGGCTTATTACGCGTAAGTATTATTTTTTCAAAAAGAACAATTCTTTGTCACAACTAATTACTGACATGTATTTTAGAGCTTTCGATCCTATCAGCGTGTTAGCATCGCTGGCATTTTTGGCATTTTTATTGCAATCATTCGCTTCGCTTTTCGACCGTTCGAGGTCAATTTTACCGACGATAGTCAGCGGCAGACAATTGGCCATAGATGACTCAATGATTCCAGAAATTTCTAAACATGTGTCGCACGCTTTACGAGAATATGTAAGTATTCTATTCCGGATTAAGAATGACAAATTATACAAAAATGACAAAATAATAGCACGCGAACTTTCAGGAAAATCTTAATGAAGACTTAGAGAACAAGTAAAATTGATGAAATAATCGCTTTTCTTTTTATCATTTAAACGCGGTAATACAATTTTTGCCGTTTATCCGCAAGCAAATTTTAATCATTTCCGTATAAATAATTTATTTGTTTAGTAAAAGCACACACAAGTATGTGTGTACATATTATATACACACACATACATTGCATACAAATAGTTTCTCTCAATAGAGTACTTTTTACATAGCAGAGATTCCTACTAAAATTGTTGTTATTGCATATAAAAATTACTTTTAAGTTCGTCAATAGGTTTCCAAACTGTACCATTTAGGTGGAAATATATTGTGGTAACAAATTGCATTCATTAAGATTCATTATTAATATAAATTATGTAATTCGTTAAAATTCATACACACTACGTGCGATCATTATTCTATTTTGTTTTTGCAGTCTTATAGGTAGTTATAACATTATTAAAATACATGAAGTTTGTAGTTATAAAACATTTTTCCTAATATACTCTCTGTGGAGTTGACATATTGTTTGCCCACAATTATATTTATAAAAAAAAAAGAAAATTGTTTTACTTACTACAGTAAAAAGATTTTTTTATCAACTTAAGCATAATCAAGAGTATATCTATTTTTAAAAAATTTGGTAATCTTTTCGTACTATTCAATATTATATATATTTTATTTGGGTTTATTCAATAGACGCTTTTTTAAATTTGTTATTAATTAATGCAATAGAAATTCTTGTTATTTCAAATCTTACATAAAAAAGAATACAAATTTTCCTTTAATATTACCACGGAACACGTGTGGATGGTTTTGCTGGAGTGTGCCTGTAAAGATAGATTTATAATTTATAAAAAATAAAACTATATACAAAAAAAATTATAAATATATAAAATATTTTTTGTGTACATTTGAGATATTTACATATTTGACCAGCGCTTATATAATATTAGCCAGCGCTTAATGTTGCGGTGTGACAATGAGAATATTTTATATTTTTAGATTAAGACTGTACTGGATGTTTTATATAAACAACTTACTTCTTTCCACAAGTTGGTTTGTGATACGGATGTGTCGACATAAGGCCACGTCTTTCTTTATTATGCATTGCCTTAAGTGATAAATTTATTTTTTCTTGCATAATATCATGTTGAGATGAGTGAGATGTCGTGAGATTAGATGTATTAGTCTTTAATTTATTTAAAATAGCAATACTTTTTTCACTCATTTGAACAGGCTTTTGTTTATTCGCGTTTTCTTTGCCTACGCGACTATTGTTATTTTGTACAATAAATTTGTTATTTGCCAGTGATTTTTTTGTTTGCTTCGGTGGTGTACTGCCAGTGTCATTATTTTTATCAGACAATACACGTTTTCTAAACGTTTCCTTCGAAGCAATTTTATCACTTGGAGTTTCTTGCAAGTTTTTCGATTTGTTGTTCGAAATGTTGTCGTCGTGATCATTACTTTCGTCATTTAAGTTAAAAGTTTTGTCGATATTCGCTTCTGAAGTTGCAATAAAAGTAGAATTTAAAACATTCATATTAGAAACGTCACGCTCTTCATTATCTGTTTCTAGCGTGGTCGTAATTATTGGTGCAGAATTATTTAATGGATTGATACTGCCCATGCTTAAGCATGTAAGCAAGCAAAAATCTTCTACAGTACTAATTGAATCCGAATCGGACCATTTGATATTGCGAAAACCTTCAAGCAACTTAACTAGTTCTTTGAATTCTACTTCCATCTTTTCGGTCATTGATCCGTAACCTTTCACGATATTATAGTAATTCTGGAGAGTATTACTCATTAGTTTTGTTATAGTATTTATTGACTGTCTTTCGCATTGCATAAGACTACTAAATTTCTTCAGATGTTGCTGCATTCCGAAAATCCAGCATTTTTCAATCTCAGAAATTTGCAAAGACAATTTATTTTGCAGATTTTCATCGATAGATCCAGATTTCAATTGGGAAGTAGTTACCTCTTGTATTACTGTCTCAGCTGCACACAATTCCTGCCACGTTTCTTCTATTTGTGCCTTCAAATAATCTCTTTGACGTTGGAAATAATCAAGAGATTTGTTAATGCGCAATTTTCCACTAACGTTTTGTTCCTCTTGCAAAACGTCACCAGCTGTTGTTAAATTGTGCAATCTTTCATCTGCATCCTTTTTGTAAAGTATTCTAAAAGCCAGAATCTTATCGGAACTTTCTAGAGCCAATATTTTTTCGATCAATTCTTTTTTCTTATTATATAATCCTGACAGTTTGCAATACACATCCAATATAACTTTATTTTGTTTAATTTCCTGCACTGGCTGTAACGTTCCACTCTCAAGAGCTGCTAGTTTCGACTTCAAGCTCTCTATTTCCTTCTTTTGTTCTTCCACAATCTTGATGTAACCAGCAACATGTGTTTCACAGGATACATTTTTCTTGGCATATGATTTGATTTTCTTTGCACGATTTGCATATCTCAGAGTGTTATATGTGTCTTCATAAGTCATGCTAGAAGGTCCAACATTAGCTATCATAACGGTATAACAATTGCCACCAAGTGAGTCTTTCAGTAGTCTTGTAAGTTTTGAATCTCTGTATGGAATATGCTTTATACCATCTGCTAGATTATTTATACAATTCCCAAGAGCGAGTAAAGATTTATTGATGTTGGCACCTTCTTTAAATCTCACACCTTTACATCCAGTAGCTGAAGCTCTCTCAGATCCCGCTAAATCGATCATAGAGAGTTTTACTCGTTGTACTTGGTTATCTAACTTATTAAGTATTTTGATATACACTTGAAAAACTGCATGACTTCTACTGCTCTCCTTGTTTGCATCTGTCGGATGTTGAGTGCGATTTTTATTACCTTCTGCCAACAATGTCAGTAGCTCTTTAGCACTTTGAATAGCAATTGGTTCTAAACCAGCAACTATGACTCCACATCTACCATCTTCTCTTAAGTGTAATGGGCCTGACTTGTGCAATAAGTCTTGTACATTTTCATTGTATATCTCAAGATATGTCACACCCAAGTTGAACTCTCGGTGTTTACTCTGAGTTTCAATCTCAGAAAAAAGTTCTGCCACTGTTCGATACGTAATACCTGGATCTTCTTTGTTACCTAGCATGGTGTGAGTTTTACCAGCACCTGTAGCGCCATATGCAAACACAGAGCAGTTATAGCCTTCCAAAAGACTACTGATTAAGCTTTTAGTGCTTCCTTCAAACACATCAATGTTGGTGGATGTCCTGTCAAAGATCCTATCAAAAATAAACTGCAGTTGTTTGTTTTGTTTCTTCAGCATATCTCGACCTTTTTGAGCAACATTGTGAAAGAAGAAAGGTGTTGCTTGCTCCTTTGGATCAAATATCAGCATTTTGTCGTCAACGACTTCAATGACAGTCCTACCATTATTTTGCAGCTCATATTCATTGTCGGGACGGACTCTCACAATCACCTTGATCGACATTTCGGGAGAATCTTCAGGTTTCATAGTTGTCTTACTTGTACTTGGCTTGATTAACGTTTTTTCTGCCTCTCTGTTAGCTTTACCAAGCAAGAATGTCTTGCTCGAGTCTTTCTTATTGAACACCATCGTTTCTCACGTAACAATACTCTGCAAAGTATCTGTAATTATTGGTGAAATTTACTAATCTGCAAGTCTCACGAAACACATTATGATTTTATTTCAGTGAAACAAAGTTTACATTTTCACATGATTATATTGCCGTTACTCACGACGCTGACGCATTGCTTGCACAACACTCTTCTTATACCCCGTCAATTACTGATGTACATGATCTTCTTCTTCGACATGCAAAAATATTCCGTCAAAATCTTTCTCGGAAAAAGTAGATCAGAATTGATGCGAGTCCACACAAACACACACGTTTTGACAACGTGACAATCAGTAAACGTCCGTTACTGGCGTTACGCTGAAAGTTTTGAATTTGAACTTTAACGATGACAATCGCGCGCAGTTTTGCAAACCAAATAACCGAACAGGGCCCTAGAGAATCAAACAAAACGCTACTTTCTTCTATTTCCGGTAGACGTCTCTGTATGCAATGGGTGCGTTCAGACAACTCAACAGTTGCATAACAGTTGAGAGATAATCATTTCTGATTGGGTCATACTTTTGGAACCGCGGTAGATTTTGAAGAATAGTTCTATCATAAGTGACGATCTCTCAACCGTGGAGTTGTCTGAACGCACCCAATTACGTATATATACATGTAAAATCCCTATACTTGATTCAAATTGAGAAAAAAACCCACAAGCCCCTTGCACAATGGAAGGAATAGCGATAGCGATAGAAATAACACAGTTTTTAACACAGAATTCCAACTCGTCGGAAATTTTATCGCTATTGCTTATTCCGATTTTCTGATCTGCATTAATACATGTGTAGTTTTGTATGTTAGATTCCGCTGTTCCTACCTTTATTTTTAAATATAAACTCTTTAAAACTTTTGTTATTTCTATCGCTATCGCTATTCCGTCCATTGTGCAAGAGGCTATAGACGTATAATATGAGGTTTGTTTTACCAGAGAGAAACCTGAGAGCGGCCATCCTATTGTAATTTTTTACGACGGTTTCAGCCGCTGGTTTTAGCCGTATTTCCACAAAAGTGGAACTCAAAGGCCGTTCTACATTAAACGCAAGTCGCAGATCTCGTGGAATTGACCAATTGCAGAGTCAAATCAGCCAATCGACTAACGTGATTGATCAGTTCCACGAAATCTGCTTCTTGCGTTTAATATGTCTGTTCGTTTTACCTGAACTGGCCGCTCTAGGTCAGAGTTTATCTTCTTTACTCTACGTTGGAAAAAGAAGGATAAACTCTGACCTAGAGCGGCCAGTTCAGGTAAAACGAACAGACATAATGTAGAACGGTCTTTGAGTTCCACTTTTGTGAAAATACGGCTAAAACCAGCGGTTGAAACCGTCGTAAGAAACTACAATGGCATGGCCGCTCTCAGGTTTCTCTCTGGTCTTACTCTATTATAATCACTGAACTCTATATACACTGGAATGCGCATCTTCGCCTAACAAGCATAGCGAGACGTGGCACAAATTGATCAGCGCCATTTTTGTTTGGCCTGGTATTTTAACAAATCAAAAGTGCGTTCCGCGTCCCGCTACAATAAATCAGAAGCATTCTCCTAGCACGCGTAGAAAGGTGTTACGGTAGTATAAGTATATGTAAAAAACATCTGTAATATTAGCGACTTGAGGTGTTGCGTGCCCGGATGTGGGCAGAGAAGTGAAAAGGAGATTTCATTTTATAGGTAAGGATTTTGGTGTTTGTAGTAATCGATACATCGATACATCGATATTGACTACTATCGAATGTCATTAGCAACCGATACACAATCATTCATTTATTAACAACAAATATTCTCTTGTTCAGTTGTATATCAGGCATTCCAAGTTCATTCATGTAATCATTCACACGTTCAAATAAACCGACTCAAGTTTAATTAAAAAGAATTAATTTAATTTATTCTTTGTGAGTGAACAAACATAACAGTGTTAAATATATCAGTTTCTGTATGTGTTAACAATGTAGAATAAAAATCGTTAGGTTATTTTGCAACATAACATATAATGATATTTTGCAATTAGCGCGCGTGTACTTCGTGCTTTTTTACCATTAAAAAAATAGGTTTTTAAATTGCATTAATACGCAAATTTATTTTTATATTGTATTAACGAGCAGAAGCTCTTTTACACATACTTATAATTAAAATATTATAAATAAATATTTATAATTTTATGTAATTTTATTATTACAAACTCCTGAATAAATTTTTTCTTTTTTGGTACTTTTTTATCTCCGTCATTTATATTGTAGCGGAACACAGAACACGCTTCTGATTTGCTAAAATACCAGGCCAAACAAACATGGCGCTATTCAATTTGTGCCATGAATTTTTCTTGATGCGCATTCCAGTGTATATAGAGTTCAGTGATTATAATACACACGTATACATCTAAACTCCAATGACAAATCTTTCCAATTACGGAGCAACCTAGCCAGCGAATGGCGTATGGACTAACCCTCATGGTCCAAGTGCCATAAGTGCACCAAGCAAGACCATAACCCATGTGACTGGAGATTGCAACTGAAAAGTTGCAGATTAACAATTGATCTCAATGACAATCGTCATTGGCAACAATAGAAATTGATTAATGAGCGAGAGCAATCTCAAAAAACGCATTTACATCAGGAACTATTCTGACGTATAAATTATCTTCTCCATTGAATTATTACCAATATTATGCGTTTGATTTCACATACTCTGTAGCACAAACGCTTTATTGTATTGTTTTAAGTAATATTGGACAAAAAATATATATATCAAAAAAATCTCACAATCACTTACGAAAAGAAAAACGAAAGTCTTGTGTAACATCAAGTTTGCAAATTGCACTACAATTTTATTTTAACGCATCCTTTTATAACTTCTGCAAAGAAAAGTGAAAATGTGTTGGAAAAGCAGAGGAAAAAAAGAATGTTAGTGCGTTAACAAAAAGATGCAATGTTTGAGAATAGGATGGTCTTGCAAAAAGTTAGCTACGACTTCGCTAAAAGTTTCCGACATGTCAGAAAAAGCGAACCTCGAGGCAATAAGACTTTTCGACGACTTTATGCGGCACTACCACGACTCACACCGCAAGAGGTGCACAGTTTTTAATTATGTTTACTTCTTCCTTGTTTAGTGCATGAGTTATATAAAGTTATATTGCATTGTAGGTCACAAGTGTGTTGCAAGCCAATGAATATACCAAAGAATTTTCTAGCACAGGTTCAGTAAAATATTATGATTCAAATCAGTTGGCATCCAATAATCCTATAGAGGACACACGATCAGAAGCTCAGTGTTTGCTTACTAAAGGTATGATAAGAAGTATGTAATTGATTTTTATTAGCTGATAAAGCACAATACAACATTCATGGATACTGCAAGTATATAATTTTAATATCAAGCATTGTATGATATTGCAGATTTTGAATAATCTGATTTCATGTAAATATATATATATATGCTGTGACTAGTTGCATGTTTTAAATTTCTTATTTATAGGTATATTATTGGGAGTTTTTGATGGTCATGGTGGTGGTGCGTGTGCACAAGTAGTATCAAAAAGACTGTTTCACTATATATCAGCATGTTTGTTGCCACCAAAAATACTACAAGAATATTTGACTGCAGTTCAATCTGATAAGAAGTTAGAATTAGTTCAAACCTTCAATGATAAAGTAGAGTTTGTAGCTGAGATCAAAGATCTCTATCAAGCTAGTTTTTTAAATTTCATAAAAGACTTAGTGCAATCAGAGGATACTGGAAAGGAGTTTCAAATGGAAAAAGCTTTAGAAAATGCATTTCTTAGATTGGATAATGACTTATCAAATGAAGCTCTATTGCAACTGAATAGAAAAGATGCTGCAAGAACTCTTGCTGTCGCAATGTCGGGTACAGTGGCTGCTGTGGCACATATAGATGGCCCTCATCTTCACGTTGCTGGTGTTGGTGACTGTAAAGCTGTATTGGGAGTGCTTTCTGGTATATAGATTCTCTTTTGTTCTCTCTCTCTCTCTCATGTAATGTTAGGAATTTACAATTTATTTAAAAAAATCAACATATTAAATAGTAGTCTTGTATTCTCATGTAGAAAATGATGGGTGGTCTGCCAAGATAATGACAGTGGAACACAATGCTGATAATCGTGCAGAAGTAGAGAGAATCTTATTGGAACATCCGCCAAATGAGAGATCGACTGTGATTAAAATGGAGAGATTACTCGGACAATTGGCGCCGCTTCGATCGCTTGGTGATTTTCGGTACAAATGGAGTAAAGACATCATGAAAAGAGTCGTAGTACCATTTCTTGGCGAGACGGCAATTCCTCCAAATTATCACTCACCGCCGTACCTGACGGCCAATCCTGAAGTCAGATATCACAGACTAACACCTAGAGACAAGTTTCTTATAATAGGTAGTGATGGATTGTGGGATCTTATTTCGCCGTTGCAAGCTGTACGCTTGGTAGGTGAACATATGAGCGGCAAAGTTACCCTCAGCCCGCTGAGATTACCTCGTAAGAATATGAAACTGTCAGACATAAATGAGATGTTGCTGCAACGTAAAGAAGGTCTGAAGAAGAAACCTTTAGACAACAACGCGGCAACACATTTGTTAAGGAATGCTCTAGGTGGCACGGAATACGGAATAGATCACGCAAAGTTGTCGCAATTATTGACTCTGCCAACCGAAGTGGTGCGAATATTTCGCGACGACATCACTGTAACAGTCGTGTACATGGATTCGGAATTTCTAAGACACTGTCCTTCCTGAAGCGGTACCTCATGAGACTTATTACTTTTCAATACGGCTGCAAAATTTATCTATTTGTATATCAGTACACAGCTTGTTATTTATTTAATTAACAATAAAAACAATTTACATGTGGAAAACAGAGTCCAAGATATATCAGTAATATATATATATATATATATATACATATATACATGTGTATATATATATGTATATATGTGTATATATATACACACACATATGTAATATTAAATAATACTTATTATATACAGGGTGTCCGACAATTACTTTAACATCTCTCGTAGGCAGGTAGAAGGAGTAAAACTAAATCGAAAAGTCCTGAACCATTTTTTTCTATTACATATAATAAAGGAGTAATTATTGAATAAATCAAGCCAATCGTGAGCCACGCGCCTGGTGTATGTAAGCGCTCCGCGCGGTTCACTGACGTGCGCCTGGCTAAAGGTTGGCGATGATTGGCCTGATTTACTCAACAATTACTCCTTTATTATAAATAATAGAAAAAAACGATTCAGGACTTTTTGACTCAGTTTTACTCCTTTTACCTGCCTAAGAGAGATGTCACACCAATTCTGGGACATCTTGTATATATATACCTCATCAATTTTGGTTAGCGAAAAATTTCTTGAATTATAGCTAGCCATCCAATTCGATTCTGATCCTTTACGAGTAACTGCTGCATTGGAGTCCCGCTCAAATGAAAAATCACTTAGTACACAGGAGCGATTAAAATCATGATCAAAAGTAATCTGATATTTGATACTTTCGGAAATATAACTATAAAATCTAGATTTAATTTGTTAGATATACATATAGGTTATATATACTAGACACCACCAATATAGGCTTCTCCTTTGCCTCACACTTTACAATAAAAAATAATCTACCTCCTGTCTGTGTTCGATAAGTTTAAGAATTCTTTATCTCAAAATATATAATTTATTTTGTGATTTTTGTATACGCACTATTTTCGCTAAGTAAATTAAGCAATAAGCTTACTGATACGAAATCGTATCCAATATTGCATGTTGCGCTTAAAAAAGATGAGAGCTAAAAAGGAGACGAGAAAAGTGAACTCGTTTCCGATTATATTTATACAGATACCGTTGATCGAGTGTTATTGTAAGAGGAGTAAGGCAAGCATGTACAACTAACATATTGGTTGAATTAAAAGAACTTCTCAACCTTCTTGTCCGAAATCTTCTTTAAATTTCTCTAATTTCGTCATATCTTCTTCATTCACTGTAGGACGGGTAGTTGATAGCGATTTCAACATATCTTTCTAAAATGTTAATAGAAAGTTACGCACATTTTGTGAATATATTATACAAATAAAAATAAGATAGAATAAAGTTTTGTCAAAATCTCACCATGGTAACTGGCGGTTCGTACAATTTGTCACCGTCTACTTCCATCCAACTCATTTCGATAGCAGCTGGATCACCAGGGGAACATGGAGTAAGTAAATCGTCAACAATAACAGAAGGATCCTTCGGCGACGGTCCTCTGACACGCTTGAAATGCGTTGCTGTTTGTACTTGTCGAACTGGCTGCATCAAAGCGTCCCGTACGATGATACTTATGTCGGCTCCCGAATAACCTTCAGTGGCCGCCGCTAATTTCTTAAAATCTTCCTCTGTTAAACAATGTGACGTATTACCCAGATGGAGTTTGAACATAACGGCGCGCGCCTGTTCATCGGGCAGAGGAATGTAGATTCTTTTTTCGAATCTTCGTCTGATTGCAGAATCCAAAACCCAAGGTATATTTGTCGCTCCTAACACGAGTATGCCGTCATTATCGGATCCTACGCCTGTCGACATGAGCAAAATCATTAACGTTTTATAAACTATGCGCTCGCTGTAAACGTCCTTTTATACCTTGCATTTGAACAAGAAATTCTGTTTTTATTCTCCTTGCAGATTCTGATTCATTATCAGAACGTGATGAGCACAGTGAATCTATCTCATCAATAAATATAATGCTAGGTTTGTGTTGTCGCGCTAATTCAAACAAATTTTTTACAAGTTTTTCCGACTCTCCTAACCATTTGCTCACTAAATCCGATGACGATACAGAAAAGAAGGTAGAATTATTAGCTTCTGTTGCCACTGCCTTTGCCAAGTAGGATTTACCAGTACCTGGTGGCTAAAACCAATATAAGTCAAGTTTATTACAATACAAATATAAGTAAAAACATTGATTTTTTTATTTAACACCTATAAATTACAAATAATGTTTTTTAAGTTTAGACTGCTTACCCCAAATAATAGAATACCTTTCCAAGGTATTCGTTTACCAGTAAAGAGATGAGGGAAACGAATCGGTAGAATAACAGCTTCTTTTAAAGCTTCTTTAGCTCCATCAAGACCAGCTACATCACTCCATTTAACATCTGGTTTTTCAATGATTATAGCACCTTCCAACTTACTTTGCAATTTTTTCTTTTCGGGGTCACTGTCAGTGTCACTATCACCACTGTCACTCTTCTTATCTTCATTCTTGGAATTATCTTCTCCAGCTTTGACTGGCTTTTTCTTACTTTTCTTCAGATAAGCTTTCAATTTTTCTGCTCTTTCTAAATACTGCAAACATTTTGCTCTTATACTTTCTTTAGCTCTATCTCCATGGGTTTCATCTAAAATTATCAACACAATATATTAATTTTACATTAATTTTCTAACAAATATACAAATAATTTTATCTGTAAATGACAGAATAAATGTCATTTTACACACATAGTCTTATACATTGGAACATTTATTACATGATACTAAATAGTAGTACTTTTAAAATACATACATTTTATTGAATGCAGGAAATATTCAACAGCATGTTCATATAACCTAAGGGCTTCTTCATAGTTTTTATTGCGATCTTCCTCTGTAGCTTTTGTTACAAGGTCTATGGCTTTCTGAAAACAAAAATTGTGTCAATTATTCTGTTTAAATTTATCACATTTTTTTCAAATGTCAACACACTTTTATTTCACTGATAAAACATACAAACAATCTGTAAATTCTGCAAACTTGCCTGCAGTATTCCCGAAGCCATGATAACTTCTTGTCAATATGCTGCAAGAAGTCACAGTACAAGCTGTTCAGGCCTGTGGAGGAGCAGTAACGAACTAGTCAGTTAAAGTAACCTTCAAGATCAAACGTTGCGACGTCACCTATACGAATGATATCACACACTATTCTGTTATCATAATCATCATCATCGATACAACTTGGATGAAATTGTCGAGAACATTGTGGCGAGAATATCTCGACCACGATTGTTTTTGTTAAAATTATCTCTGTAAAATTCAACGAGAAACGTTGGTCTTCTCTGATTGGATTTCCTGGTTACGTTGTAATACAATCAGTTTAGCGACAAGCAAAGCTTTGAGACAAAAAAACGTACCAAAATATTTACGATGACACACCGGGACAACGTAGTGATTTTTGCAATTGCATTAACTCAACTTGAGCGAGTGTCTATTGTGTGGAACACGCGATTCTCTTTTCAGAATAATATTATCGTGAAATATTCAGAATGCTCAAACAACTTGACGAATTCGTCACCATCTTTCTTCTATCTTTTGGGCGCGTTCGAAGATTTCCTTTAGAAATCAATGCGTTGTATCCTGCTTTACATTGGCTACAGAGCGCGAGACAGTAGGTTCCTTTGAAAATAATAAACGAATGAAAACGCAAAAGATGACCGAGTTTTGCAATAGAATTGACCAGTCGCATTAGTCGGTTAGTAGAATCGACCAATCACTGTCGACACTAATTGGTCGATCACCAAACTTAATCAGAAATAGTGAGAAAACCGAAATCTCAAACTCGTATGTAGATTTGATTGTAGTCAAATCTTGACAAAATTATAGCCATTCAATGTATTTTTATACGAAACGGAAGGTTTGAGAAATTGAAAGTGTTGTTTGACTTTCTGAGCCGAGAAATTAATTGTTAAAATTGAAGAGTTTTTAGGTTAGAATGTCTCATAGACCTTTTCTACAATACAGTCGTAAGCCCTAAGTCGTAAGAAATTGACCAATCACAGATAAATCACAGAAGAATAATCGATTGTGATTGGTCAATTTCTTACGACTTACAGCCATAGAGCTTATACTCATGGAGAGGCCCTGCCTATATGCTAACCATAAAGAAGGCTCCGCCGGGAGGATCGACAAAGAGAGATATATTTCGATATATTTTGTCTCAACTGTGGCTCCCCCACTCCGTGTTCTCTGTTATTTTCTTCTATAAGAAGTGGCCACAGTTGAAACAGAAAAATATATCTCTCTTTGTCGATCCTCCTTGCGGTCGCAGGACCTCTCCATGACTATAAGCTCTATGCTTATAGCTTACGACAGTATTAGGCAATTTTTGGCGATTGTATGGTACATATACCAAAATGTACCAAACTATAGTTCGAGTGACTTCAAATTATAGTTTGGTACACTTTGGTATATGTAACATACGATTGCTAAAAATTGTCTATTGTAGAACAGGCCATAGCAATACTAGACGATACGAGATCAGTGATGAAAAATCGAGTCCGCTGCAACGAGAGTATCAAAGTGGTGGGGGCACGCACCAAGCGAAAACCGCCGTCCACAGTTGCAAACTCGAGCCGGCTAGCACCGAAAGCACCGAGGTGTTGGGAGCCACTGGGAACACGCACACAAGCGAAAACCGCCGTCCGTGTGCGTGGAACATACACACGGACGGCGGTTCTCGCTTGTGTGCGTGTTCCCAGTGGCTCCCAACACCTCGGTGCTCTCGGTGCTAGCCGGCTC